CTCTAGATTTATTAATCATGTCTTGCACCATGAGCACAATTTTTGCTGTTATCTGAGTAATTATTTCTGATTTCATTTTTCCCAGATCCTCTTTTGTGGCCAGTTCAGAGGGTCCAGGTGGTTGAGTGTCAGGTTGTTCCATCTGGTTTCCCTTTGGGGTTGCTGTAGGTGATCTGGAAGTCTGTTTTTGAGGCTTGTTTATGTGTCTTCTCATTTCCACGGGGCGGGGGGGGGCTGCTTCTGGCACCCACATGGCTCACCTTCTCTGCCCTAGGAGCTTGGGATGGCAGTGGGGGAGCTTCCTTCCGGGTGTTCGGACCGGCTGAGCTTCTCTGCCCTAGGAGCCTGGAATGGAGGTGGGGAGCTTCCTTCTGGGTGCTGGGACTGGCTCACCTTCTTGGCCCTAGGAGCCTGAGTTGGCAGCGGGGGAGGTTCCTTCTGGGTGCTGGGACTGGCTGAGCTTCACTGCCCTAGGAGCCTAGGATGGAGGTGGGGAGGGTGCTGGGACCGCCTGAGCTTCACTGCCCTAGGAGCCTGGGATGGTGGTGGGGGAGCTTCCTTCCAGGTGCTGCTTTCTTGATGGTGGCTTAATTTCCTCATATGAGGGATGGGGATGGTGGTAGGAACTACCTTCTAAGGTTCTTGTGGGAGATAAAAGAGTTGCTGGATGGAGGTGGAAGGCCCTCTGTGAGTGATGACTCTTGTGTCAGTGGGTGGGAGGCTTTGATAAGGCAGTGGTGTGTGGGAGGAAGCTGTCCCAGGGCTGGCTAAGGGTAGGAGTTGCAAGGTTGCCTTCCACAGAGGGCAGTGCTGATTCACTTCTGGGTTTTCTTTGGCTGAGTGGGGAAAGTTGTGCAAGTTGTGACTGGGGCTGGCTTTTCAAGTCAAGAGAAGACAGGACAAGGCCATCTCCTCCAGGGTGGTTCCCTTCCCCCTGTGATCCTCTGTATTCCTAATGGAGTTTTCTGAGAAGCTCCTCACATCTCTCTCAGTTTAGGGAAAGCTGGTTGGGGTCAATAAGGTGAAGCCTTAGACTCGAGGAAAATTCAGCAGTTGCTGATTCAGAGGCCTTTGTGGCTGATACTGGTGACCTTGGGGGTCTTTTTTGATGCCAGTGGGTCATGGGGGAGCACCATAAGCAATCTGAGAGGGGACAAAGCTTGGATTTCCAGGACTGACCCCAGGAAAAGAGGAGAGGAGCCCACAGGGGTTCTGAGGGCTATATGCAAGCCCTCACCCAGGCTTCTTCACTAAAGGGTTACCCTGACACCTGCTGCTGTCTGAGACGCGCCTGAAAAAGCTTCCACCTCCTTAGACACTTTTTTAGAAAGTCAGATGCTTCTGGAAGGGAAATGATGTGAGAGGATTTAATTACATTTTCAATATGTAAGTTTGTTCCCTCCCTGGGTCCAAAATCATGGACAATAAAAGTGACGTATTTGGTAAAGATGCTAAAACATTGTTAGAATATAACCCTAGTGAATGGAGATTGGAGCATATTAACCAAGAAGGTGAATGTAATTTCTGTGATTGCTATTGAGTTCTGAGAGATCCAGAAGTCAAGCCTTCACCCTTGCCCCCAAAATATGGATGGGGGGGTAGTCTGTCAGTAAATCTCTAGCATCTTAGGGGCAAATGCATGTTTCCTGGGTGATGTAATCAAGCAGTCAAGACTGACTATTTGAGAAGTAAAACCTCAGCTCTCCTGAAAGGCAGGGTGCTAAGCTGAGGAGAGCAGAGAAAGTGAAGGTGATATGGGGTATTGGCCTTACAAAACTCCAGAGCTTGGGAATTGGATAAATCTGGATTTGAGACCCGGCCCTGTGCCTTATTAACTCATCTCAGTTTCTTTATTTTTTGCCTGAAGGGTGATCAAGGCACCTACCTTGGAGCATGGTTGAAGGCAATTGAAGGGATAACCCATGCTCAATGCTAAGCACAGTCAAGGCATAAAGTTGCTGTGGGATAAACATCACCATTAGTAACGCTCTCATCACCTATTCTGCCCCAGGGCTGGGGGATGCAAGTTCAAGGCAGAGGACACCTCTTTCCAAGGACATAGCCTGGTTCTCCATAGATGATGATCTTGGAGTGGGAGACTCTGGAGAAAACTAGGACGAACTCAGTTGCTCTAGTTCCTGGAGAAAGGTGGAACAGTTTAGAACTGCCTCTGAGGCAGGGTAGGAAGGAATCCCTGTGGAGAATGAATGCCCTTTGATCCTGGAGCCCTCTTAGGAGGAGGGGGCTGGGACAATGGCGGACCCCATTCTGGCCACATCAAGAGCCAGGAGCCCCTGCCCCTTAGCCCTTCTCAAATACTGACTGAAGCTCACATCCTTCATGGCTTGACTAAATAATTTAGCTAGGCTTCTTCCTGACTATGGACTCCAACTGCCTTTTTCTTAGAGAATTTCTTTAAGAAAATTTACACTTGTCAGTTTTTTCTCTGCCCCTTTGAGACATCAATCTCCCATCCTCTTGTCCCCTTTTCAATACTAGCATACCTTTTTCAAGGATATGGAGTCATCCCCTTGAAATAGAATCAAGAGTACTGTATCCCTATCGGTCTCCGTAGGGAGGGTAGGAGCCTAATTCTAATAATCACCAATAAGTAAATACAGATAGCCTCACCATATTAACCAACCTCCCCCCTAAGATCCTCTATTAGTTCACCTCAGTGTTAACACATGTTCCTGCCTTTTGTTTTGGGAGAGTCCAGAGCTCCAGCTCCCCTACTTGAACAGTCTTCCAGCACCTTTGCTTGGACAGTACACACCTGGACAAACTGCTTCTTTTTCCCCTTCCTCCGCTGTAGCCACTCCAGCACCCGAGTGAGGTCAGACATCTTCCTCTCCTCTGCAGTCCTCCACACAGTCTTCCTCTCCGTGGGCATGAGATCCTTTAGGTCCTTTGGTTCCTTTGGGTCCTCTGGCTTCTCTGCCATGCTGGAGTCCTGCCTCTGCTTTGGGTGAGTGACTAGCACTCTCTTGATCTCTGTGCCTGGACTTGCTGGTGTGAGTGACAAGGGTGTGGCCTCAGAAAAAGGGTGTGGTCTCTAGAAAGGATCATAAAAGGCAGGGAGCTGGGATATTGGCCTTAGAAGGCAGAAAGTTGGGGGGTGATTGTGAGGTCACTGCCAGGCTTGGGAGCTGGTGCTGGAGTCAGAATGGAAGTGGTGATATAGGATTGTCATGGGAACTTACTTTAGTGATAATAGACATTAAAACTGAGACAACAGGTTGCATTTTTAGGCAAAAGCTTCAATGAGGAAGGGATGTCAGCTTGACCAGCAGAAAAGCTGAAGAAGGCACAGATCTGATAGAGAGGATCAGACTGGCCTATTAATAAAGAGAAGAGAAAAACTTTCTCTGGGGTGGGCTAGTGTAATTTTCTGCTGGGTCATGTGTATGATATATATTTTTTTGATAATTCTTTCTTGTGTTTTAGGGGCTTTCTTTCTAGTGGAGGATATGGATTAACTGTGATGCTTACCCTGGAGACATCCTGGCATCATCTGCTTTTATAAGGCACCTGGTCCTTGCAATAAGAATAGGGGTTAAGGAGAAGTACATTCCATGCGCTGTTTGCCAGGCAGGATGGGGGATGGGGGGAAGGAATGCCCTCCCTTTAGTGGGAAGTTGGCCATGGATTAAGGAACCAGAACCCCATTATCTCTTGTCCCCATGAGGGTCCCTGTTCTGCTCCACTGGAACATTAGCTTCCTCCTATGTGTGGCCACTGCCCATCTTCACTTACTACTCTTATCTGGACCCTGCTACAGCTTCTCTTATGGTCTCTCCACCTCCACTTCCATAGAGATCTTGCTAAAACAAAAGTCAGCTTGGATATCTTCCTTCGTTTTTTTGTGAGTGTCTTTAGTTGCACTATCATGGCTGCCTCAATGTCCTGAATTGATTCCAAATGTTTTCCTTTTATGGTCCTTTTGACTTTGGAGAAGAGCCAGAAGTTGAACAATCCAGATCCAGTGAGTAGGTGGGCAAGGACACACCATAATCCTTTTACAAGCCTACCTTTCTGTTGCATGGCATGTGGCAGCAGTATACACTGTATTTTTTTTGGTTTTTTTTGGTACCCGGGATCGAACTCAGGTCCTTGTGCTTGCACAGCAGGTGGCGAAACCACTGAGCTAAATCCCCGGCCCCTACACTGTATTTTTTATTGCACCTTGTAAAGACATGAAAGAGGACTTTGAGAACTGTTTCAGTGGCAAGAATGGTGGGATAAGTGTGTTTAGAGTAGGGAGGAAGTATTTTGAGGGGGATTAATGGCAATGTGTCTTTTACTGTATTAAAAATTTTAAATTTAAACATTCACATATATTTTAATTATACCTCATGTGGTGCCGGGGATTTAGCTCAGTGGGTCCGCCACCTGCACCACAAGCTCAAGGACCCGAATTTGATCCCCGGTACCAAAAAATCCCAAAAAACAAAAAACTGAGGCCTGGGGATTTAGCTCAGTGGTGCAGATGCCTGCCTCACAAGCACAAAGTCCTGAGTTTGATCCTGGTACAAAAAAAAAAAAAAGTCAAACAATACAAAACAATAAAATAATATTTAAAAAAATTATACCTCGTGTGTTTACTTATTCATTCAACAGGTAGTTATCAGACATGCACTATATGCCAGGCATTGTTCTGGGGATACACTACAGGATAGCCCCTAAAACATTGGGGCTAGTGGGAAAAACACTAAGAAGGCAGTGAGTGTATGAATCCCCAGTGATGTAGGAAGGAAAGGAATGTGATTTTTGGAAGGCTCAAAGCCCGTAACACTGGAGCTAGATTTGAATAACGGGTGGGTGGGCCCCCTTGACCACTGAGATAAAGGGAGGTAGGATTGAACAGGGCTGTTGTGACCTTAATGTTTGTGTCCCCTTAAAATTCATATATTAAAATTTTATCCCCAAGCTGATGGTATCAGGAGGGGGTTCCTGGGAGGGGATTAGGTCATAAGGGCTGAGCCATTATGAGATTGGTGTCCTTATACAAAGAGATTGTGGAGGGTTAGCCAGCTCCATCCACCTTGTGAAGATATAATGAGAATATGGCACCTATGAACCCGGAAATAGACCCTCACTAGACAGTAGTCTGTCTGCTAAACTGTGAGAAACAACTATTCATTATTTATAAGCCTTACAGTCTATGATATTTTGTTATTGTCATTCAAATGGACTAAGATAGTCAGGCATGGTGGTGCACATCTGTTATCCCTGTTATCTCTGGGAGGCTGAGACAAGAGGATTGCAAGCTCAAGCCCAGCCTGGGCAACTTAGTGACTTATTGAGACTCTGTCTGAAAAATGAAAAAGGACTGGGTATATAGCTCAGTGCAAAGGTCCTGAGTTTAATCCCTAGTACTAGAGAAAAAAAAGGACAAAGATTAAGACAAGGGTTGCAGACCAGAGGGATGAACATATGCAAAGCAAAGGCCCTGTGGCAGGATGGGAGCATGGCACACTTGAACAACAGGGGATGGAGAGAGTACTGGGCAGTGAGAGATGATGCCAGAGAGGTGGGCAGGTGCCAGACTATACAGGACCTCAGGGGTGACGTGTTCTACTTAGACTGGGAAGGGAAGGAATGCAAAGAGGAAACAGTAAAGGGATTCAGACAGAGGGAGGGACTAACAAAATCAGCTTTTAAAGAAAAGTCCATTTTAATTGAAGGAACTATATATACAGGAAAATGCCAGCATCACAAATGAAAACATTTAAGTAGTACCCCAGAATCCCTGCTAGTCTCTACGTCTCTCCAAAGCAAACATTATCCTAACTTCTAATTTCATAGATTTGCCTGTTTTTAAATTTCATATAATTTTGCATTTGCATCTGTTCATTTCCTCATGTAACGTTTTGCATCTGGGTTTATTTATTTCATAATACACTTGCAAGATTTGTCAATGAATCCTTTTGTCTGTATGTGGCAATGTCTTCATGTTACCTTCATTTTTGCAGAGAGATTTGCTGGGCAGTAGAATTCTTCGTTAGCAGGTTTTCAGCACGCCGTGTCCTCACACCGACTTCTGGCTTGTGCTCTTCCACGGGGGAGGCTGGCTGTTCATTGCATTGCTGCTTTTGGGTCTGTGGGAATCATTTTTCTCTTGCTCATCTTTGCCTTTGTTTTTCCTTTTGACCGTGTGCCTGTGATGTGTTCCGAGTGACTCTGTTTCGTGGTATTTATCCCACCTTAGGTTTATTGACCTTCTTGAACATGTACTTAATATTTTCTACCAGATTCTGGAAGTTTTCAGTCTTTTTTTCAATATTTTTTCTATAACTATATTTTTTCTCTTCTGGGACTCTCATTATATATCTATTGGCATTCTTGATGTTGTCCCACTTATCTCTAAGGCTCTGTTAATTTTTCTTCAATCCTTTTTTTCTCTCTGTTCTTTAAATTGGATAATTTTTATCAAGTTCACTGATTCCCTCCTCTGCCATATATAATCTGCTACTGAGTCTTTTTAGTAAATTTTTCATTTTAATTATACTTTTCAACTCCCAATTTTCTTTTATTATTCATAATTTTTATCTTTTTACTTGAGTTTTTCTCTGCTGATTCATTATTGTCATAATTTCATTTAAATTTTAAAACATAGTTTGCTTTAGTTCTTTGAATATATTTATAATAGTTATTTAAAGTTTGTCTGCTAAATACAACATCTGGGAACACTCAGGCAATTTCTACTTATTGATATTTTCCTGAGTATATGCAGCATTTTCCTGTCTCTTTTCCTTTCTTATAATTTTTTGTTGAAAACTAGATGTTAAACAATAGTGTCATGTTATGTTAAGAGGTGTAATGGCTAAGTTAACTTGCTTTAACCATTTCACAATGTGTGCTTTGCCAAAACATGTTGTACATCATAAAAGTATGCAATTCTATTTGTCAATTTTAAAAATACTGTCCTGATATTGGATTCTGACCCATGTCCCAGGATTTATTATTGCTGTTTTCACTTTTCTTTGCTTAATAATTTATCTGGGCTCCTTGCAATGCCTGTCTAGGAAGCTGTGAATTCTCTCTTTCTTATAATGTGAAACCCCTGAAAGTGTCCGATTAAGTTGCTTATATTCTTATTTTTCACACAGAGTATCATTTCTGAACCTTGGCTCTATGTGTGCTTTGCTGATTGGACAGAGGTAATGTTCACACCCCCCAAGCCATCTGTCCTCTTCTGCAGATCTATGTGTGGGTAAAGGAGCTGCAGCAAGGATTTCATTGCTACAGTCCAACTTACCCCAGTGTTTAGTGGCTTCAAACAAAAGCATTTATAATCTCACAGTTTTGTGGGTCAGAAATATGAGTGTGCCTTGGCTAGGTTCTCTGGCTTAGGCCATAATGAAGGTGTTGGCCAGGTGGGTGATCTGCAGGCTAGACTGGGAAGGCTCTATATGCAAGTGTGGTTCTTGGCAGGATTGGCTTCCTTGAAGGCCATCGAATCGAGAGCACCACTCCTCTGCTGTTATGGGTTGTGTTTAGATGTCCCCTCAAAGCCTCATGTGGTCATATGTGAGGCTTTTTCAGAAGTGGCTGGATCTACAGTGTGTTATACTGGAATTGATTCATGGCGTAATGCTAGGCACAAGGGCACTGGGATTCAGAGTGTGAGGGCTACCCACCCTAAATAGTCTGGATAAGATAAAAAAAAGGGGCAGAAAGTTGCTATTAAGGTCCCTTGTTGCTTTTGCTACCTTGTGGATGCCATGAACTGTTCTTCTTCGAGATGCCCCTCTGCCATGTGCCACTCTGCCTTGGAGCCACCCGATTATAGACAGAAACATCTACAGACTGTGAGCTAAACAAACCTTCTCCCCCCAAAATTTGGGTGTTGGGTATTTTGTCTCAGCAATGGGAAAAGTAACTAAGCTTTCTAGTGACCACCCTTGGTTTCTTGGTAGATGTGCCTTCATTAGCTCTTGTCATGTAGTTTGCTTCATGAAAGAAACAAAGAGAGGAATTAGAGAGAAAGAAGTAAGCAGAATTCAGTTTCTTACAACCTTCCATTGCAAGTGACATCCATCAT